CCACCAGGAGAAAATTCGACTTTCCGTGAAAACCGTTAGAGCAGGAATTGAGCACTAATTACTGGCGCAAAAAAATTGCAAAAATCAAATTGGGGGGGGGGGTTAACATACGTTCATGATTTAAATCAAAATTATTACCTATATTTTATTTTTATGTTATTAGTTTATTATCACTATTTATTACAGTTCATTAAACTCCATGAGGTGATGAATTATATAATTCTTATCTTGAGATTTGGTCAATTCGCTATAATATTAAAGCCATTATAACAAAATTAGTTCTGATGTATGCAAATTGTTTATATAGTAGTATATTGATTGTAAGATAGTAATTATATCTTTCTTAACCTGTTTATTTCAACTAATATTGAATATAAAACTCAAAATGACCAACGAAGGTATTTATTGTCATCGCCACAGTCAATTACGGAGTTAATAACAGTGATGTACCTACTGATGTGATACGCATTTAGTCTATCACGCTAGTATGCCGAAATACTTATTTGTATTACTATCTTATCGTCGATAAGTTATCGTAAATATAATGATGGTTTCTTTGTTTATCGTTACTGTTGATTGTACACGATTGATGTTTGACAGTGACAGTTTCGTTTTAGACGTCGCGTCGTATTGTTAGTAGCCAGTAGGTGAAGTGCGTACATTTTTGGAATTCAGAATAATATTTTTGCATATTTAACATTTTTAATGCATATTTTGCAATTTTTTCGTGCATATTTGCATGCATATTTTACCTTTTTTAGCTCCTACAACTTTCGAGCCCTAATCATAACTTAATGAAAAATTTAATATCGTAAAACCCAACAATCTCTGGTATGTATTGCTTTCACCTTAAATTTAATAACAGGTCAATTCATAAATCATTTAAATCAGGTTAAGTACAACAAACAATTATTATAGTTTTGTTAAATATGTTTGAAACACGTAGTAAACACGTGCATATTAGTCATCCTAATTCTTAAGAGATAGTTTATTATATAGATAGATAATTTTTAATCAAAACACAGAATAGGAACTTTCTTCCTCCTAACTTAACCTTTCCCCTGCTGCCACAAATTCGTCACTACTTTATCGATTACTACAACGTGTATAATATTTAATTTAGGTATTAATAATGTATTAATCTATTTGGTATAGGTTTTTTTTATTGATTTGTATTTTTATGAAGTATAATATAATATATCATTGCTAATATATTATGTAACCCTATTGAATAAATATTTTAGCGTAGGGCCGTCTTAAGCTTAAGTTCGCGAACTGTATTATCGAGCTATTCAGAGCAAAAGTCGATAAGAACGCAACAAGAAATACTAAAAAGGAACTTAAAGAACTGAAAACTAAAGCAGAAATTATAACAATTTATGCGAACGATTTCACTGAATCTGAAATAAAAACAGCAATACAAGCAATTAAAACTGGTAAATCAGCGGGATTTGACGAAGTATACCCAGAATCCTTAAAGAATTGTGGACCCAATACTCGTCAATGGTTAGCAGTGTTCTTCACAAGCATACTACGTACTTGAAGATGTCCTAAAAAATTCAAAAAGACAAAAATTCTGGCTATTTTAAAACGGGGGAAACCCGATAATGAAATTAAAAGCTACTGACCGATATCCATACTGAGTGTTAACTAAAAGATGTTTGAAAGACTTATTTACAACCGAATTTAAAAAAAAAAACTGTAAATAAAACTATTCAAATAGAACAGGCTGGGTTTTGACCTAACAGGAATTGCTACAACCAAGCTCTAACGCAGACCACAAACATCGAAGATAGGTTTGAAGAAGGACTAAAATCCGATGCAGCCTTTATTTACCTCACGGCAGCATATGACACAGTATAGCGCGATGGGCTTATCACTTAATTCCTACGGGTTATACCATGTAAAACAATTAAGTGGTATCATAAATAGTATGCTGAACAACAGATTTCTCACAGTAGTAAAGTTATAGGTGATCGAAAAAGTAAGCAAAAAACCCTACACAATGGACTGCCACAAGAATCTGTTTTAGCTCCCCTACTATTCAACTTTTACCCCATTGACCTACCAAACATAACACCAAGTCGAACAGATTTATTTACGCAGACAATATAGCCCTCCTATGTCAAAAAAGACATTCGATCTCTACAAAAAATTATTTATAGTAGCGTTCGCAGGATTTTAATTCTGGTAGGGTTTTCAGTATAGGTTGATCAGAGACCCATGGGGGGGGGGGTTATAACCCTAGAACCCTACCCCTGCGTACGCCACTAGAAAAATACTGCATGGAAGACCTGAGTGAACTAAATAAGTACTGTAACAACTGGATTGACCATTTACCTATGTTTTTTTTTTTCAATAATCCAGAATAATTTTTTTATATAAAACGTATAAATACGTTATAGCTTACAATTTAAAGTTGTAATATTGATTATTTGGGGCCTCCATTTGACTGAGGACCCTTGGCACGTGTCCATATAGGATAAAGATAGAACTGTAAAATAAAATAAAAGTGCGAATACTGTTATTTAATTATCATAAGCTTGTGCATGAATATAATTATGATATATTAATATAATAATATGTATGATTGATTACCTACATGCATAGTGCATTTAGTATAACAAAGACGTAAATTTTTTTTCGTTGCTTAGTAATGAAAAAACATATCACTAAACGCACAAGTGTTTTTTATTTTATTTTATTTCCCTTTTTACAAATTAACACACACCTTTCACGCACGATTAAGTCTATCAGTGAGATACAGACACATACACACATTTGAAACCCAACAGCAGATAATAAAATACAATTCCCTATTAAGTCTTTTTACGACCGAAAAAGCATACGCACAACGTAACGTCTATCCTTACACGCTAACACTCGGGAAAAATGGACGTGGAACAGATGCCAGTAGTGGAAATTAAGGAAAAGTTCCTGTGGAAGGCGAAGCTGGCTCAGGAAGCGAACCGGTTCGAGGAAATGGCCAAGTACATGAGACAGGTAGCTGAGTGCGGGGTGCCTATGACCAAGGAAGAGGACAACATGCTGGCAGCTGCGTACAAGAGCGTGCTGGACACTAAACGCTCGTCCAGGAGGACGTTGGTGACGATCGAGCAGAAGGACGGCATAACTTCGTGGGAAGCAACGGTGGTGCGCCATTATCGCGCTCGTATTGACGACGAATTGCGCGCGCTGTGCACTGAGGTACTGACACTGGTCGATAGATGGCTGATGTCCGACCAGCCAGAAACCTCGGATCCTTCCACTGGCGTATTCTACTGGAAACTTTGTGCCGATTACAACCGGTATGCTGCCGAAGTGATCGATGACCCGGATGACCGGGCCGCAGTGGTGGCCATTTCCAGAGCCGCCTACGAGCAGGCCGACCGATTGGGCCGGAAGAACCTTCGACCCATCGATCCAATCCGGCTCGGACTCATGCTCAATTATTCCGTATTTCTGTATCAGGTGTGCCAACAACGCCGGCAGGGTCACGACGTGGCGAAGCTTGCGTTTGACGAGGCTTTAGCTGAGATAGATACCATCGAAGAGTCCATGTATGACGATTCGACGCTCATCCTGCGACTTATCCGGGATAACTTGACCATATGGATTCAAGAAAACGGTGGAGAGTCGTATGCAAGGGCCTCCGAAAACCAGACAGCCCTAGTGGCATTTTCGGTAGAGGATGATATAGTACAAACAGACCTAGTGACTACAGAYACGGTGGCCACGTCCACAGTTCTGCTGCCGTTGTCACCTTCGACCGTCGCCGTCGAATCACAGCCTGACATCGATCGTCGTTCGTTGCAGGATAACGCGAATTAAATGTCGGGCTCTATTCGAAAATACGTTCGCAATATTATAAAATAAAATCGTTATTCCATGCGTGATTATGTATAAACAATAGTTTAATATATTTTGATTCAGAGCCGGCCTTAGGCAGGGACTAGCGGGGCCCCTGCCCCTGGCCWCGAGCTTTTGTGTAACATTTTGGGCCTCGCGTTAATGAAATTATTCATTATTTTATACCATAATTTTTCGGCGAAATTAAAAAACGATTTAAATTTAGTGGACAGATTACATTTAAAGTAAACAGAGAAACAGTTGTCGTTATAAGTTTTATTATTATTAGTTATACCATAGCCTATAGATTATTGATTATATATGTACTTGTGTAGGAGATTCCGATGCTACGTAATACGTATATTGTAATAAAATCATTTTGTCAACGAAAACGATTTCAAACAATATTTTATATTAATTTATTATATTCTTATCGTGTTATTGTGACAATAATATCATGAAACCCGGCTTATTTCTGTTGCAAAGTTCACATATTGAGCGATATGCCGGTCGGATAAAATTTAATTTGGTATTTAGGAAGTAGTTCATTTTGCATSGCACATTCGTTTTAGTAATCAAAATCCTAAGATCGTAATTTCGTAAGWACTAATTCTTATTGATATTTGATATAATATGTGTAATATTATACAAATGTAATAATTATTAAATTATAGTAAATAATAGTCCTAAAATCTTAAAATTTTTACCTAAACAGTGAAAACTTTATAACGAAACTCTTTACAACGAAAAACTTTATAGGTACAACGTTAACCTTAAAATTACCTAATAATGGTTGGTTTGCTTTATAACTCATTAGTGGATTCTTTCTCTATAGTCACTCCCAATAACGAAATAATATTTTATGTTTCATATTGTAATTTATGTGTTATCCTAATCCCTAATATAAATTATAAGAGTATCTAAATCGATATAAATGCCTAAATTTACAATTACGATTATATTCTTTCATTATCTACTTGTGCATTCGTAATAATACCATTTATAACAAAATATTGGCAGACTAAATAAGTTTAAACAAAGATTTAAATTATTGTATAAAATATAATACGTATCTTATAATAATTATAATATATTTCGATAAAATAATAAATAATTAACTACCTACTCATGTAATGTAAAAATAATAATGTGTATGATAAATAAACATACCTTATTAATAGTAAAAATTTTTATTTTTAAACTATTTATTACGAAAACTGTATAATGAAAGAAATCTCTTGGTCCCTCCAGATTCGGTAAAAGAGTTTTCACTGTACGTACCTAAATATACGTTATATATATTATGTGTGTATATATTATATAATTTATATAGTCATTAGTCATTGATAATATTATACAATTGTACATCTATACACATGAGTACATAAATTTAATGTATTGTAACACACAATTTTGTATATTTATTAGTTTTTTCATCAAATTTGAAATAAAATAATGAGCATGTTTGAGGCGTAAATCTGTATTATAGGTAATATATTTTACGTTTCTGTTTCAACAGTTTATTTCGCCATAATGGGTCGTGATCGAGATAAATTCAGAAAATTCGAACCTGATAATCAAAAATTTTAAAAAAAAAATTAAAAGAAAAGTTCATGAAACGTGAAACTGGTGCTTTTCCAAAAATTTTAAAACCTTCAAAAGAAAATAATCCAAATACAGTAGAATTGCAATGTAAAATTGATGTCCCATTGCTTCCTACTAGTACTTTCTCTTTGAAAGAAAATGAAAATTATTCCGTTTTAAGTCTTGATTACGAACAAGACATGTCTAAAAATATTAAAGTAAATTTAAATGATGAACAAGGCATTACTATTAATTCAAATTTTAATAAAATGACTAGTAAACCAAATGATGAAGTTTTTCAAAATTTTAAGATCCCGGTGAATGGCCTAGTAATTAGAGAAAGAGATATAATTATCGAAAAATGTCCAATAAAAATAAGCAATCACGATTTTCCAATAAAATCTAGTGATGATGTAGAGTAAAGAGAAAGTTCACAGTTGAACATTATAATAGAACTTTTTGTAATGACGAAAAAGTTAAACGTAGATGGTTAATTTATTCAAAGAAAAAATATATCGTCTATTGTTTTTKCTGTAAACTTTTTGGAAATTCATGTGGTAGTGGTTTAGCTAATTATGGGCTGGATGATTGGAAACACATTTCAGAGAGAATAAAAAGTCATGCAAATTCTATGGGGAAGTGATCGTGATCAAGATAGTGAGTAAACGGTTCTGGTGGCTGTAGCAAGATATCGAGTTTTGTTCTACCTAAATATTGCAGCACCTTGGCATGTGTTTCGCCTTTCCATTTGAGAGCGTTACAAAATTGACAATTTTGGTTCATAGTGCCAATGCAATTTTTAAAATCAATTGTAGGAATGTGGGATCATATGCAAGACCAGTTAATTCAATAATTTTCCATTTATTTTGTGCAATGGACTTTCAGACCAAAAAGTGGTTTTCTCGTATTTTTTTCAGCTTCCTTGACTTGATTGCTTCGAGGTATATCTGTACCTCTAGCACAGCAACGCTTTTTACTTTTATAAATTAAATTAATTGTGACACTATAATTATTACAAATAGACAAATCGCTCTCTGAAATAAAAATTACATTTTCTGTAAAATTAGGAATATTAGAAATAGATTAAACATCAAAATCCCCACTATTAATATTTCAGGTTAGACGCAATCTTTTTACTGGCAATGTATCTACACCAAATTTGGTATAAAGATTATTATTATAATAAATTTCAAACACATATGGGAAAATATTTCCAGTTGCAAACAATTTTCAGTAACCACCGTAGACAGTAGGATTTTCCATATCACGAACATAATCCTCAGTAATGGAAAAGTTGTCACCATATGAATTGTAAGACATATTAACAAAGGTATTCCAATTATCAGAGACATACGCAACAGTTGTATTTCGGATCTCCTGACATCTTTCTTGAGTCTTATATATATGAAAGGAAATTAAACGGGAAAAGCAGGCACCATCACCGATAATTGCTACAACTATTTGAAATGTCAACATTACAATCACAGTAATTTATTCAATAGATGACATTTTTACAAATGAAAGTGAAAAAAATCTTATATCTATATTATATTGTCAATACAACCCTCTAATCAGTCTAATCAATAACAATAATAATAATAATTTAATAATATAAATAAACAAATATAATATTAATAATATTAGATATTGGTTGATAGATGGCGCCACTGTTGTATACTTAAAACCACTTGATTTTACTTTTAGGGGTTGAATTTACAAAAATCCTTTCTTACAGCACGGTTAAATTATAATGATTATCCATCCTGAAAATTTCAAGCAGATCTGCTCTGTGGTTTAGGCTCCACGGTAATCCCTCCGGAGGACAAATTACATTATGTATATAGATTTAAAATGTTTTAACTTTTTAGCATTATACGTCTATACTCTATACCTTAGATTAAATAAAAGTATGTAATAAATAATACATTTTTTAATACATTTAACAATTGTGGCATTTCTGAATGTTAAARAATTATTAAAATTGAATTTTTAGATTTTACTAGATGGATTCGACATAGAATGAATTTGTKTGGAACTTAACCATCCAAATTTTCATCAGCAAAGGAGCTGTGTTATTTAGAACCTATCAAACAATTTATTAAAAATTTTAAATGTTGATTATGAAAATCAAAACAAATTATTAACGGGTACCAATGAGTGATTGCAATAATATGTCTCTCATTAGTCATTMTACATAATATTGCATATTTGTACATATTAAATACAATATAACAGGGTGGTAAAATATAGAGTAAAATTAATTTTTTTTACTGGAGATACCCTAGGTAGAAATCATAGTGACCTTTTCATAGTTAATCATAAAATATAACCAGTGGTATAATTATTTGAGTAAACAAGATTTATAGTCTGTTTACAGTCACTGAAGCATCAATGTGATATTAAGTATCATAAAAATAAATTCTGTTGACATTTAAAATTTCTGTTTTAATTAAAAAATTGATTGTATACATCATATCTTTTGACACTGTAAAAGAATTAGTTGAATGTGTYATTGTGGATGATGAACTACAAAAGTATGATGTTATTGTCGGACGCGCGTTTGTGGATAAGAAGAACGCGTGACATTCATTAAAACAAGTGATCAGTTACACTTTGCATATGGAATGAAGTTCCCTTTCGAAGACTCTGAGGTACCCTATAAGGAAGAAAATCTGTATACTGCAATAACAACCAGGAATTTTGAAGAGATACCCTCAAGGAGTGTGAAGATTACAAATGTTACAACCCAGGACAATGGTATAGAGATAATGATAGTAAATGACGGTGATGAATCAGTTACAATATGGTCTAAGGGAAAAATTGTGGGCAACGTCAAAAATAAAATGCATAGTCCAGTTTATGATAGTCTTAATAGTTGTAGAATAATTACAATAGATATGGTTAATTATAATCCTGAGTTTTCGGAGGGACAAGTAAATAAATTATTAAATTTAATCAATAGTTACAGAATGTGTTTTGCTTTTAGTGCACGAGAGTTGGGGTGCACAAATGTCGTTGAAATGGACATTATGGACAATTGTGTTCCGGTTGTGTGTAAACCGTRCCGTACGAGTGCAGCTGAACGCAAAACCATTGCAGGGATAGTCAAGGAGTGGAAGGAAGCAGGAATTGTGTCAGATACCGTATCACCTTATGCTTCCCCGGTGCTCATAGTCCAAAAAAAGATGATGATCCCAGACTGGTGGTGGACTACCGAAAGCTTAATGCTCAGACGGTGCTCCCTACACCACAGCTAGATGATCACTTGGAGACCTTGTATGGGGCGAAATTGTTTTGCACTTTGGATTTGGCCTCCGGGTACCTGCAAGTACCTCTTACAGAAGCAGCCAAGGAGAAAACCGCATTCATCACTCCTGATGACATAGGTCAGTTTGAACGAATGGTGTTTGGTCTCATTAATGCCCCATATGAGTTCTCAAGGTTAATGCAACGGGTACTCAATCCGTTGAAGGGAAAGATTGCTATGTGGTACTTGGATGATGTGTTGGTGCCTGCTATATCGTACGAGGAAATGTTGGATAGGTTGAAATTGGTATTTGAAGCATTTCGGACAGCACACCTAACACTTAAGTTGAGTGAGTGCTATTTTGGGTATTATGAGGTGTCTTACCTTGATTTTTTACTATCCTCAAATGGCGTGCGCCCTGGAAAACAGAAAGTTTTATCGATACAAGATTTTCCAACACCTACTAACAAACACGAAGTGAGGAGATTTTTGGGACTTAGTGGATTCTTCCGACGTTTCATCTCACGGTATGTCCAACTAGCTGAACCAATTACTGAGTTTCTTAAAGATTCTGAGATTTTCAAGTGGAAATAAGAGCAGGACGATGCGTTTAAGGAGTTAAAAAAAAAATTAAGTTCCAGTCCCGTACTCCGATTGTACAATCCTAGAGCCCATATTGAGTTGCACTGCGATGCAAGCAGCATTGGATTTAGTGGCATATTGTTACAGCTTGGGGCTGACAATCGCTTACATTTGGTGCATGYTGTATCAAAAAAAAACCACTGCGGTGGAAAAACTTTACCACTCAAGTACGCTAGAACTAATGGCGTTTGTTTGTAGTGTAATCCGATTGAGACACTACCTAWTTGGACTACATTTTGTTATTGTGACSGATTGTCAGGCATTGGTCCATTTAAATACTCAAAAGACAATTAGTCGGCAGGTGGCCAGATGGTCTACATTGTTAACCGAATACGACTACGAAATCAAACATTGAGCCGGAGACAAGATTTCACACATCGACGCTCTTAGTAGAGCAACTGTCGAAGTTGCCAGTGACACGGAGACGGAGATCATTAATGAGAAAATGGAAGTACTTACATTAGTTACTGAGGAGGCGCAAGTAATGGCGATGCAGCGCACCGATACGAGGCTAAAAATAATTGTGGATATTTTATGCCGTGAAGAATCGGGACGCTCCGTCAGTGAAACTGCGTTGGTGAAAGAATATGTATTGGAATCTGGACTACTATACAAGAAAGTAGAAGTGAACAAGATAGTTCGTAAATTGTGGGTTGTCCCAAACTCCATGCGAAAGGGTATAGTCGTACGATTTCATGACCTGTCAGGTCATTTTTCAGTAGACCGGACTGTCGGTAAAATAATGGAAAGTTATTATTTTCTTCGGATGCGTCGCTACGTGCGTTTACATATACGGTGTTGTCCCGAATGTATTTTAACTAAAGTCCCCCGAGGAAAACAACCTGGAACATTACATCCAATTATGCCAGGGAAACGCCCGTTTGAAATACTAAACTTAGATCACCTAGGRCCATTCGTTAAATCTACCAGAGGAAACCAATATATTTTGGTAATGATAGATAAACTAAGTATGTGAAACTGTATGCAGTGAGAAGCTGTGGTACGGATGGTGTTATCGCTAGTCTAGAAAAGTTTATATTACAGTTTGGTATTCTAAGAAGAATCATAAGCGACAGGGGTACCATCMAGAGCGTTTGGGGAATATTTCTCTCGTTATGGTATAAAACATACTTTAAATTCCGTCAGACACCCTCAAGCAAATGGCCAGGTCGAAAGGGTGAATGGGACTTTAGTTCCTGTTATTCAAGCCACTATGGAAACAGACCGTACTTGGGACAAGCATATTACCTGATTATTGTTAACTCCTATATTGTAACTTAGTGTCATATTTAAACTTTATATACTTTCTGTACTATTAATACCAAAGGGTACCTACCCGTTTATAATGTATAAATAAATAAATTACTGAGGTGGAGTGTAACCTTAACAATGCATATAATCAAACTATGGGAGACACACCCTTTCATGTACTGTATGGCTATTTTCCCAGTTTCAAGGATGGTGTATTGCGACATGTGGTAAAAGATGATGTATGGAATGATTCTACAAGACTTCAAGAAAAGGTACGCGAACGGATAGCTAAAGAACATGAAATATGGAAACTTAGGTATGATAAAAAGCACTCTAGGCCAATCGTTTACAGGAAGGGAGACATTTTCTACATAAGGAGACCCCCCCAGGCAATGGGTGAATCAACGAAACTACAACCTAAGTATCGTGGACCACTCATTGTGACACAAGGACTACCTAATGATGTATACAGTGTGTCAGCATTGCGAGCTGAAGAAGGGAGACAATATGCAACTACAGTCCACATGTCTCAGATGAAATCATCATTTGCCTGACTCAGATTCGGAGGAGGATGACAAGCAATCTAGTACAACTTCAGAAGAACAATGTGTAGCAGGAGAGGCTGACCCAGACAGACCACAAGAAGAATCTGCAGAACAGTTATCAAAGTCCATTGCTGAACTCTCACCAGGTGTAGTAAAAACGGCTAGGATAAGGCGGCCACCGAGTTGGCATGAGGATTATAAAATGTGATTAATTTATACTATGTTGGTCCTTTTTGTTTACCATGTCTACACTAATCTGTATATACTGTGAGGCAATATTGTAATTATGTGTGTTTGTATAGGTATGTAATTAATTTTTATGCTTAGAATACAAAACGTAGTTCCTCTTACAGACTTAAATTTAAAAGAAACAGGATGTTCCTAATATGATTTTGATTGCATTATTTTTCTTTATATATAGTAAGAATGCTTTACTTGCTATGTAAACTAGTGTTTAAATGTTTATTTTTTTGTTTAGTCTATTATCAAAATGTGTAAGATCTAAAAGTAATGGATTAAGTTTGAAATTATAAATTACTATTAATTAATTACTAACTATTAACATGTATTTTATATATATATATAATGTATTACATGTTTTCATATTATTTTTGTTTTCAATGTTCATTAAGTGAGGACACTTAAACTCATCAGGATGCCCGAATGTTATCTATCATATAGTGGTGGTAGGGGAGATCACTGATGAGAGAGTGGACAGTGCACATTGCATGTATAGAGGCAGTGTATAGCTGGACAGCGCGTCACGAGCGTTGTACAGCTATTGTGTTTTATTGTTMAATATAASTTAAAGTGCTAAACATAAGATTACTGAAGTATTTTATTCACCTTTTCTAAACCCTATAATTAATTTATAACAGTTGGTATAGCAGATTTTTTTAACATTTGTTTTCCACTTACAACAGCTAAATAGAAATCATTTTCATTGAAATGCAAACTACATAAAGTTGAGCWGGAAGTAGGTTTAAAATCCTTCTTTGTACAGCATATACCCATTTTTGAAGCCTCTCTTTCTCTTTAAGAGGGAACCTTAAATATCAAAATAATAAATGTACATTTGTTT